ACATCACATTTGATGGGTTGACAAAAACTCCACCGCATTTCCCACAGAAAAACCCGCCTAAACCGCAAACCCTAAACTGCATGTCTGACTTGTAGGGAACTGTCGTTCAAGATACCACATTAAGGGATACACACGGTACACAAACGTAAACAGTATTCTGAACTTGTCATGGTCGCTGAAAACGACCAAGCCCTCCACAACCCTTTAAACACCTTAAAAGTCATTCGAAAGCCATTCTCCAACCCTGAATAGCTGCACGATCATGTAAAACCCCTGCAAGCCTTACGAAGGCCGTGTCAGATCTTATCAAGCCCGAAGCCCATGTAGAACCCAATAAAATCCCTCAGAATCACCCTAAACCCTAAACCCTTAACCCCTAAACCCTAAACCCTTCTGAAGGACCCTGACGGGTGCCTCATAGATCTGGCCCGCTGCAAGCCTATCCGCTACGCACCTGGGACATTATAGGATTTAGGGTTTAGGGTTTAAGGCTTAGGATTTAGGGTTTAGGGGTTAAGGATTTAGGGTTCAGGGCTTATAGGGTTTAGGGCTTAGGATTTAGGGTTTAGGGGTTAAGGATTTAGGGTTTAGGGCTTATAGGTTTAGGGCTTGGGATTTAGGGTTTAGGGGTTAAGGATTTAGGGTTTAGGGCTTATGGGGTTTAGGGCTTAGGATTTAGGGTTTAGGGCTTATAGGGTTTAGGGCTTAGGATTTAGGGTTTAGGGGTTAAGGATTTAGGGTTCAGGGGTTAAGGATTTAGGGTTTAGGGCTTATCGGGTTTAGGGCTTAGGATCTAGGGTTTAGCATTTACAGTCCTGGGTTCAGGGTTCAGGGCTCAGGATTAAGAGTTTAAGGTTTAGGGCTTAGGGTTTAGGGCTTAGGATTTAGGGCTTAGGGTTTAGGCTTGTTTAGGGTTTAGGATTTACGGGTTAGGATTTTGGGTTTAAGGCTAAGGATTTAAGGTTTAGCATTTAAAGTTCAGGGTTCAAGGTTTAGGATTTAGGGTTGAGGGTTTAGGTTTAGGGCTCCAAAGGCACGGAGGGCTCCTGTCTACCGAAACTCAGGCTTCAAGTGTGGACGTTACACCATATGGGTAGTTGTCAAATTTATGGCCCCTTTTGGAGTACCCTAAATATTTGGTGCCGTATTGTATTAAGGATCCAAAAAGGGACCATAATTTTGACAACCACCCATATGGATTAGAGATTATGGCCGAGCTGAAAGCCCATGACTGCACTCAAAAGTGCGAAGAGTCTTCTGTTGAGGGCGAAACGATCGCTACCCCGAATCTTAAATCCCGAATCCTCACACCCCAATCTCTGAACCACAAATGTCTGGGTTGTGCTTTAAGCCCTTTGAAAATTATTTATGAATAGGTTCCCTTTATAAGGAAATAAGGGAAATTCAAAAATTATCCCAAAGCACAACCCAAATCCTGAACTATGCCGTGCAGTTCAGCGAAGTAAGGAGATGCTTGAAACAATGAAACCTACGATAGCGACATGCGTTTATAACTTTACGATTCGGTTGTTATGCCGGGACTCGTTTGGAGAAAGGGACCGGGTTTACAGATAGCGCTGTTGCAGGCTGCAAGGCATTGGGACCCTGAGTTCTGATATAGGGGCCATAATAAGTAGAATAGGGTTTAGGGCCCATTATACTATATCATGTATAAGAAACCCCCAATAATTGTTTTTGGTAATTCTTGAGGCCCCTACATAATGCCGACGGTTTGGGGTTCAGGTTGTGGGTTCTACCAGAGGACGTTCCAAGGTATCTCTGATGGCTCAGGTCACCAACCCACAGGCCCGGCAAACTGCCTAAGGTACAAGCCAGAAAGTTGGAATATGATTATTCTAAACCCTTTATGGTGAATTATAAGGTATCCTACCCTGAAACCATATTCCAACTTTCTGGAGTTCCCTTTACAGTAGAAGCCCAAAAGTTGGAAACCCAATAGCCTCAATCCTTAAGAGTCATGTATAGGGAATGCCAGCACTATTTGGCCGCAATCCGGTTTCCAACTTTGTGGGGTTTACCGTAAGCCCCTAACTCCTAAAAACCTGAAACGAAGATCCTAATATTTCCAACCGGGTTTTGCGGGGATGCCATTCTAGAGGAATCAACAAAAGGACTCTGAGGGTGTATCATTGATAGCGGATCAGACGTCTAGAACCCTTGAAGCCCTAAACTATACTTGGGCTGCCTGTAGCGTTGGGGGTGTATAGGGCGTGGATAACCCAGTGTCAGGCTACCTGTAGACTTTGGCGGATACATTGTGCGATACTCATGCACGGGAACTACACTACATACTCTTACTCAGGGTTGAAGCCCCCCACAGTGTACATTTGTTTGTGTCTGCAATCCCTTTACTTTCAGCTGCTGAACCCTGCATAAACACATACAGCAAAATGCCGGATTGGATTGGGTTCCCGATGGTTGCGATTAAGTGTTCGTTTATATCCCTCAATCACGCACAGATTGGATCTATCTGACTCTTGTAGTGAAGCTCAGAACCTCAGCCGTGAGGACCCCGCGACTTGATCCCAAGACATTCGTCCCTGCTTTCAATCCTGTCCCACAACTTTGTAACCTCGTGGCAAGCATGATCCTCAAAGTGGCCCATGTATCATGTACTAACAGGTGTAAGTACACTACTAAACTATATATATATATATACACATACTTATATGCACGTACGTATGTACGTATACATGTATACACTTACACATGAGGTAGATAGATCGGTAGATAGACAAACAGATCGACAGGTAGATAGACAGATAGATAAACACATAAACAAATATACATATATGTGTATATACATATATATATATATATATACACAGTATATATGTATGCAGACACATATGTGAGCATGTACATACATAAGTATATATGTACTCTGGCAGATAGAAGCCACAACTCTTGATGTAACAAATGCAGGGCGCCGTCGGGTGCTCCAGTCGCTGCAAAGCCCATCCACGCCCTCGCGCAGGAGCCAGTCGCCGGAGCCCTGGGAGGCATTTTGCATTTGAGAGTTTCCCAAAAAAAGGGGTACCCTTTAAGGGTTCCTTTACGGGATCTATAAGGGTTCTAGAAAGGGTTTAGGGTTTAGAAATATGGGAGTTTCCCAAAATAGGGGGCCCTAACATGGTACCCAAAAATAGTAGGATCCTTATTCTAAGGACCCCCAAATAAGGTACCCCCCATATTCTCGGAAACTCCCTGGTTTCGAGTTTGCAAAGCTTATTGTTCCGGGCTAAACCCTGGACCCTGGACCCCTAGGGTTGATGATATAAATCCTGCATGACCCGGAATAAGGAATATACCATAATTCCCATAGTTTAGGATATAAATCCTGCATGACCCGGAATAAGGAATATACCATAATTCCCATAGTTTAGGGTCCTTAAGGTAATGCAGGATTTATATCATCAACCGTAGGTTTCGGGTTGGAGTTGGAGTTGTGGCTTTCCCACTTCGGGACTCAGGATTTGTGGCGCAGATTGCTAGCATCCCCATAATGTCACTCAGCAGCGACACTAACTCGTGCACTCACCGAGATCAGACATGTACATGCTATTTACTATTTCAATCTACTTCAGGCAGGATTTCGTTTTTGAGGGTTTCAGATTTTGAAATCAAGGCCTGATTAGAGGGACCAGAAAAAAATTAGAGCGAGTATTTGGGGCTAGGGTTCACAAACATTCGGGGTTCGAAGGGTCTACGGCTTGCGGCTTTCAGGGACTTAACACGTACTTATTCAGAATAAGGCGGTGCACTACAAGGGAATACTGCTAACTACTAAGAATTACTCGGATTTCTACATTTCGGTGCCTGGCCTCCACAGCCATTTCCAGGTGGATGCGTGCGCACTCGCAGCCTCGCGGAGACACACAGGTGGAGGCTTCGGCTGAGTGTCAGTAGTAGGATTGAAAAATTTTGGGCATATAGGGTTTCGGGTTATCTTGGGTTCTATAAGGGTTCTGTCAGGGTTGCTTTAGAGCGTTCCATAAGGGTCCTATAGGGGTTGCGTTAGGGTTTGGGGTTGGGGCTCAATGAGGGTTCAGTCATTAACAGCTTCTTTGGCCGCATTTTCGAAACCCGAAAGCGATATACACCCATACATCTTCTTAGTTTTTTGGGCGTCTTCCAACTATGACAATGCCGACTGAAACCTCCCCGCAGCCCCCAACACCCGGCATCGCACATGGATCTTCAATCGGTAAGTCGGGAAAGTTCTGAAAGGTCTGAAAATTGTCGCGCCACCACTACCGTCACACACTCACCACGATCACCAGCACCACCACCATTACCGCCGCCGACGCACCTGCACATCAGCAGCAGCAGCATCAACAACACCAGTTGCAGCAACACCAACAACACCAATAAAACACCTGCAACGACAACAACAGCAGCAGCAAAAACAACAGCAACAGCAACAGCACCAGCAACAGCACCAGCACCAGCAAGCGCAACAGCAGCACAACCGTCAGCACACCGCCACCACCACCGCCAACAACAACAAGAACAACGATCAAGACAACAACAACGACAACACCAACCCCAACCCCGACCCCAACCCAACCCCAACCGCAACCTTCATCGCAACCACAACCACAATCGCAACCGTAACGCACGAATGCACAAGGTAGAGCAACGACTGATAATTCGACATCACAATGAGAGAGACGGCATATAGCAAGATGGAAGAATTTGAGTTTGATATCCGCATATTACTAGCAGAGCCCAGTACGCATTTAACTGAACTTCTTGGATTCTGATGATGCCTCGCACTTTTCTTTGCGGCCGTTCACACGTCGTGCGAGGCGGACTGCCGGCGGCCAACCGCTGGCCGCCACGAGAGGCTTGAAGTCAACGGAGAGCTGATACTGTAGGGGCCTTAATAATTACCTACATTACTTTGGGGGTTATTATGATAAAAGTATAATCGAAACCCTATTCAACTTATTAAGGCCCCTATATTACAGTCGCGGTCAAAGACGCGGTCGCTTTACTTTCGTGCCTGACGCGTTATGAGTCGCTTCTTGGAGTAAGGCTGCAATCTTGGCATGGCTTCGGCGTGTTCGGAGTCTTGCGTGCTCGAGAGCCGTCCTGCCTTGACTATCGACCACCTCCGTGTCAGCGCCAGCTTCCACCAGCAGCCGGGCAATCTCTGTGTGGCCGTAGACCGCTGCAAGCATGAGAGCTGTCACACCCGCAGTGTTCCGCAAGTCCTTGTTGGCACCAGCATCCACCAGGCAACGTGCAATCTCAGTGTGCCCCCTAGCTACTGCACGCATTAGAGCCGTTCTGCCATCATGATAACCCTGCCAATCTGGTTTAGCACCAGCTTCAACCAGCAATCGCACCACTTCAGCGTGCCCGAAGAACACCGCATCCTGGAGCGCGCGCCTTGTGAGAGCTATATCGTCCTCACAAGCATCAGCATCCAACAAGAGGCGCACAACCTGCGCGTGGCCTGCCATGGCGGCCGCCAAGAGACCGGCTTCCTTAAAGTCTGAACCTTCATCCACAAGTAGGCGGACCATCTCACTGTGTCCATGACGAGCTGCCAGCGTGAGGGCAGCCGCATCTTCGAAGTCACAGTAGTAGTCTTTGTCCTAGGTTCTCACTAATAGATCCCCTTGCTGTGAGAATACTCATGGTCCGACGTGTAATATGAAAACGAAGAGACCCCAAAAGACAAAGATCAAAAGGATACCGTTGGAGTGACCCAGGAGTCTACTCCTGCCCGCAGCAGAAACCGAGCTGACTCCAGATGGCCATGTCGGCCAGCATAGGCCACAAGCTCACGTCCGGCGGTGTGCCACATCTCCGAGTCCACCTTGGGCCCCTAGGTATATACCCTTAATATAGCTATTATATACCCATTATATAGCTCCGAGTCTTCGGCCCATGACTGGTGTCAACTGTCGTGAAATGTCGGGATTACATAAACAGTGAACCTCTAAACCTTACTCTGTCTTAATGCTTGCCAACCGGGCCACTTCCTCGTTTGCTTTGGCCAGGAGTATGAGTTGCACCTCTCCGACTTCCGGCACATCCACGTCATCATCATCCAGCAATCTGCCGTCGTACACGAGCTTTTGCAAGGACACGGGATAGCCGTGCAGCGTACGTAAGTGTCGTTTCAGGTCCAGCCCTGTCTGAAAGTTATCTCCGCTGAGAGAAGCTACCTCCTCCCCGGAAGCCGTGCGAACATGCAGCATGACGGGTGCTGAGCCGAATGTCGGCTATCCCGGCTTGAAACCTTTCCCTCTGACTCTTCGCCTTGTCAATCACGCCTGAGTCCAAGCCAAGTTGCATGAATGAAGCCCCTGAAACCTCAGTGTTGAATCTCTGACCCCAAACACTCCCTGTATCTCGAACTTGATAACAAGAGAAAGTCTTTCTGAAGCCTCACCCGAAACAACCCTAAGCCCTGCGTCCAGGCTTGAAGCCTCAACCTTTCCGGCTCAAGCAGAAAGGTGCGCAAAGGAAGCTATGCATCACTACTTGGAGGTTCATGGGTAGTTATAGGTAGGGTTATAAGTAGGGTAGCTATACTTATAAGCCATATTAGGGAACTTATTTCCCCACTTATAACTACCCTAACCCCTAAACCCCTAAACCCCTAAACCCTATAGAACCCTTAAAGGAATCCTACCCCCACATATAACCACCCTAAAAAACCTTCAAAGGGGAAAAGGAGGGACCCTTAATGGGGACCCCTGCCCTATAATGGGCTATATAATGGGTATATAATAGCTATATTGAGGGTATATACCTAGGGGTCCTTACTAAGGGTCCCTCCTTTTACCCTTGGAAACCTCCAAGTATGAGGCCAGAAGGGGACCGGCCCTACGAGGGCAACCCTGCGCCCTACTGTAGGGGCCTGAAGAATTTGAAAAGGGTTCCTTTAAAGGGCTCTGTGAAGGGTTACTATAAGGGATCTATACGGGACTATATGATTGTAGGGGCCTTAATAGTCAGAATAGGGTTTTGGGGCCCTTTAAACTACACCTATGATAAGGAACCCCCAAAACAGTACAGGTAATTCTTACGGCCTGTATATTACGAGCTTCAGAAGATAAGCCCTGAACCCTAAACTCACTTAACCCTAAGGGTCCATGTACTCAAATGGGTGGTTGTCAAAATTAGGGTCCCTTTTTGGTCCTTATTTGTGCACGGCACCTAATATTTACGGTACCCAAAAAGGGACCATATTAACAACCACCCATATAGTATATACATTGGCCTTAAAGTACTCCCTACATAGGTACGTTGGGCCCAAAGTATATGCTACATGGATACTTGCATGGACCCTTAGGGTCAACTAAATCTGGTCTACACCTCTAAAGCATCATATCCGTTCTTTGGTTTAGGTCCAGGTTCGAGGGTGAGGCAAAAAAGAAGACTTGCTAAACTGAGACAATCCTTGCTTCTCTACGGACCAGCCTCAACGTTTAGAAGAGTTCCTTGGGGTACATCGCACTATACGTGTCGTACATACATACGTACACCCATACATATATTCCAGTTGTACATATATATATATATACACATATACCTTACATATTGTTGATGACCTGTCTGAGTGGGCCTAAATAATACGGAGTTCTGCACGAGACAACTCTACAGACACACCGGAAACACAACACGAGTAACATGCCCGTTGAATGCGGGTTTGGTATACTCCATGACCACGGAGTCGTATCGGCTTGATGATTTCAGCAGGGGGCCATGTTTATGCAGAGATGGTCCTGCTCCGCCAGACATGTGGGATTCGATTGTACCATGGCCAAGCAGGCGAACAGCTTCTGCTATGTCCCAGACTTGATGTAGGGGCATCAGTAGTTAGATTAGGGTTTTGCGGTCCATTATACTATGACTATAGTAAGAACCTCCCAAAATAGTATAGGTAATTATTCAGGCCTTTACAGTAGTAGTCTCTGCTATGCCCAAGCTCTAACCAGGCAGTCTGAGAAGGTCAAGCCAAGATATCCTGAAACGTGGACTTGCCCAAATTTTGGGGGCTTGTGGTGTTGTACTTGATGACTTCGAGCCTTAACTAGGCCCATAGCCCGTGAGAATCTACACCCTAAACGCTACAATGCAACATTGCTCAAGAAGGAGGATGAAGCCTCAGCAACTAGAACAGGGGTTTGGGGCCATACAGTATAACAGTATAACCAGGAACCCTCGAAAACAGTGCTACTAGTACCTTATCGATCGCTTTTATGTCTCAAGCCTGCAACCCAACAGCTCTGAACTCCGTCGCCTTGCATCGTGGTCGCCATCTTCTCAGGGTACATCACCGTGACCTCATGGGTGGGTTTAGGGGGTTTAGGGTTTTAGGATTTCAGAGTTTAGGGTTTAGGGGGTTTAGGGGTCAGGCTTATAGAGTTCAGGGTTTACGGTTTTAGGGTTCAGGGTTTAGGGTTTTAGGGCCAATTTAGAGCTAACGGTTCAGGATTTAGGGCGCAGGGCCTGGGTTGAGTGCTTAGGGTTCGGGGTTCAGTCGGTCGGGATACCGAATCGAGGTACAACTCATAATGTAGGAACCTGATTATGAAACCTTGGGCCCAAGGGCTCCTTTGAAGGGGTTTATAAGGGTTACTATAAGGGATCTATAGGGGTAATATAATATAGGAACCTGATTAAGAAACCTTGGGCCTTTGTTCTGGTTCAATATGAATTCCTACTATTTGGGGGTTCTAGGGCCAGGGTCTCTTAATCAGGTTCCTACATTAACGCAGGGGGTCAGGCCCCACCCAAATTATAGTGGTACAGTTGGAATATACTTGGGTGTAAGCTGACCGACATCACACACCGCTACCAAGTCAAACAGACAGCCTTGCGCCACGACGATTAACCCTAACCCTGCGCAGCCTAATATACGGGCCTTAACAATTAGAATAGGGCTTTGGGACCCATGATAGTATAATTCCAGTGCTTAAGGAACACCCAAAATAGCATTGGTAATGCTAAAGAGCCCTAAACTCTTGTAGTAGCGCTTATAGACCCTTTATAAGACTCCTTTAAAAGAACCTGTGCAGGGCCTCTATGTTAAACCTTCAAGCAGATCTCTCCAAGGCCACCTCTGAAGCCCCGTTCCCGGTAACCCCAAAGCCGCTGCACAAGGCCTACACTCGTAGTACCCACCAGGGTGGTTGTCAAAACTATGGCCCCTTTGTGGGTACCCTAAATATGAGGTGCCGTACTATATTAGGGATCCAACAAAGGGGACCATAATTTTGACAACCACACACCACCTACAACCCTAGTTCGACTCCCTAGAGAACGCCTCCCTACGATAGCAACCGCAAAACCCAAAGCACCACCAAGCTTCGCAAGGGCGCCCGACCGATTGGTTATCCCTGGGGGCCAGCACCAGCGACTCGGGTCCGGTGGCCTGAAGCAGACGGCTAAGGGTTTAGGCTGGTTTACGGGGTTTAAGGCTTAGGGTTTATAGGGTTAGGGGGTTTAGGGTTTTAGGGTTTAGGATGGCTTGGGGGGTTTTAGGCGTTTGGATTAGGCTGTTGGGATTTGCGCTGCTTGTCCTTCGAATTCCGCCTCTGCGTAGCAACCAGCTGTTGAGCAGCCCAAAACGCTTTGACCGCTTCGATGATCTCAAGGAAGCGCTGCATGACCCCTTCGCGCTTATGCTCCTTGGGCAACTTTGTGACTTGCAGTTGAAATGCCTGGCGCACGACCTCGGGGATCAGGTGGAGGTACTTCTCGAACTCTTCCGACGTCATCACGTACCCGAGGAAGTCTTGCTTCCGAGCCTCCCACTCGCCAGCAGCCGACTGGATTTCCGACAGCTGCCAAGTCTTCAAGGCAGCGGTCCGGTCGACGGCGAAGTCGTCCGACCCCGGGTTTTGTGGTTTTGTTTGGGTTTTTGCGGGGTTTGGGGGGTTTAGGGATTTGTGGTTTAGGATGGTTTAAGGGCTTTAAGGTTTTAGGGTGGTTTGGGCTTTGAGGGTTCAGGGTTTGGGGTTTAGGGTGCAGGATGTTTAAGGCTTGGAACTTGCTGGGTTCTTGTCAAAGAATATAGCTTACGTTACCATAATAGGGGTCTACTGTAAATAGTATAGTTTCATTATTCTGTTAACTTAAACTGAATCCCTTAACAGGAACCCAGGAAGCAGTTGACGGCTTAGGGTTTAGGGGTGTAAGGTTTCAAGGCTTAGGGTTTCGGGTTCAGGGTCTCAAAATGAGAGCTATGGAGGTTTTCGAGTTCATGGTAGCTCTACTAGGGATTCTCAAAATAAGGGTTCTTCTACTTAGCAATCTGGACCCAAGAGTAACCTAGGAATAGAAAGGATGCCCTTTTTGCTTTAAAGGGGCTTGTAAGGGAACCTGAACCCTAAAAAAAGGGACTAAGGGCCTACTCTAGGTCCTGGGCATACTTTAGCTTGCAAAATAAGATCTCGAATTTTGTGATACTCCCTTTGGTTGAATGTGAGCCGGTGTAGGGCTTCGGAATAAGAGTTAAGTTTGGCAGTTGGAAATGCAACATAAGGTTCGGGGCATGGTACGGGATTGCACCAAGTCACCAAGTCCTACTTGTCGGGTATCATGGGGAACTAAAGCTTAACCTTTTTGGTTATACAGGGACTATATAGGGAGTATACGACCCAAAAAAGGATAAAGGTTGCCTACTCGGCTACTAGGAAGTGTATGCAGAAAGATTGGCTCCTGTTGCGCTTGCACCCGCTCAAGTTGCGCTATGCAGCATTGAAAAGCTGGCGGTGACGAGGAGGAAATGGTTTAGGGAGTTTAGGCATGAAGGTGGTTTGGGGCTTGGTGTTTAGGGTTGAATGCTCTCGGGCTTAATTACGGCTTATCGTTTGTGAAGTTTAGGGTATGGCTTTGCGGCTCGAAGACCCGCAGCAGTATACAGGTGTTACAAGGGTTCTGAATCTGTGAAGGTGTTACCAGGGGGACTTTCAGAATCTCTCTCCACCTTCCCGAATGTTGTGAAACGGATCTATGTAGAATCCTTCCAACACCCACAAAAACGAAACAGTGCTTGCATCTCAGTCCGGGAGAACTTAGCGTGCAGATTCGTTGCAGGCTAGTCCAGCACCCCTAGAAAGCGTTTCCGACAACAAAAACTCTGCACAAGGCTGTGTCAACAAAAAAACAACCCTATGCAACCCTGTGAAAAAAAACAGACAAGGACCCTTACAGGCTTCAAAAGCACAGGCAAACCCTTGAACAC